ATCTTGTTATTTATTTATTTATTTTCGAACACTGTGGGTCTGCACATGCATTGGCTGCTATTGATTATGGTGTGAGGAGGTACCAGTATTTTCTATGCCCACTACAGAACTGGCATTTAACCATAATAAGGTACTTGGATGTCTTTAAAAGAGCCGGCATGACTTCCATTCATCTCAAAACAAGGAAGAGCGATGCTAAAGTTAATATAAATCCATGAGAGTAAACAGAAAATATCCAGGCTTCTCTCTGAGATAAGATAGAACTTTATTTATACCGAGGGAAATTGTTCTGGTTCCAAACCTGACTATTTTCCAGTGAAAACATGCCAAATTCAATTTTATCCGGAACATGCTGCCAGCCTAATAGAGTCATAATGTCATGGAGGTTGGAGCCTGGACAATGAATAACTTTCAACCTCTCTAAATCCCTCCTTACTTTAAAATGGTGCATTAACAACTTGAGTCCATACACTTTGCATTATGGATCACAGGAAGTTTTGCCAATCAACAGAGACTCCTGACAAGGATGATGACATCTTCGTAATTGCTCAAGCTGCTCAAAACATTTTCTATTAAGCCTGTTCTTGGTGTATTTTCTCTTTATTTGGGCTCTGATATCGGTTGGTAGGAACAGATATTAAGAAATAGTTTTTGTTTTGTTTCTTTCTAAAACTAAATGACATGTCATGCTCTGACATGAGTTTAGAGCATGATGTAGAATCGTACAATGGTCAAAACAGTTGGACTATTTCAAACCAAGTGCTGTTATATTTCTTTCTGAGTCATCTCCATGGGTGCAAAGCAGTGCTGCAGCCTCACTGCATCTCCAGGGTCAAGAGCCCTCCCTGGCTAAATTAGATCAGAAATTCTGATCACTCACTCCAATTATTTCAATAAACATCAGTGCTAGCCAGCAAAAAGCCAATGTGCCATTCACTTTGGTGAAACTAAAAGAGAGAGCACAGTGGACAGCTGAAGAATGATCTTTGTGTGGATGGATAAAAGAACATAGTGATGCTTTCTTATTTATTTATTTTCACATCACATGTACATCCTCTGTACATCTAGCCTTTTGTAGCATGTTGTATAGTGGGCTGCTGATATGTTGTGGAGCCTAATGAAGCCAATGTAGCCAGTTGGTACATCTGTATCTATGTGATACTGGTCCAGAGCAAGATGTTTCAACACTACATGGCAAGGTGGAATTGAAATTGACCTGAGCTTTGTTTGCTATAGCAATAGTGCACATGTTGCTAAACTACCGGTATGAACACAAAAAACTGAATGACAGAGTTTTAGCCAAAAGAACTTGCACAAATTGGCTTTAAAATGAGTGGGGTCTAATAAACATAGCAGCCTTTAGGGTTGCTAGCAGGACTTTAGTTTTATTTATCCTCCAAGAAGTAACAAACTGCTGTATTCTAGCTATGTGTGTTTGTATACAGGGTAACAGCAATCTCTGATGATGAGTGAAAATTTGCCAAAGTGAAGACAGCAGATTCTGTATGTATGAGATTAGTTCGGAAACATTACATAAAATACTGGGGGGATTGTAGTGTTAATATAATCAGTTCCATCAGCAGCTTTGCTCGGCAGCTGAGGGCTGTGGTGTGTCACTGATATGATTACCTACTCACCCAGAGCTCTGATCTCATTGTTTCCTGACATGGAGGTGACTGGATAATACATGCATAATAATGTAGGAGTGTCCTGCAGATGAAGCTTCTGTGGTTGCAGTGAAAACATGTTGCATCAATTCTAAAGGATCTAAAACATTATATTCTGGTGCATTAATTCATTTCATTTCTCATACTTGTAACTGGACCTAATGACACAAGGATTTATAGGCAGTTTATGACGGATAAGTTGCAACATTTAATCCCTAGTGACAACTGGCTGGTGAAAGTAAATAAACAGGTGTGTTTAAACCCTGTAGTAATATTCACACAAGCAACACCAAGATTTTTGCCCGCAAGGGACCTGTTTTTAAGCTAACAACATCAAAAAGGTGATGTGCTGGTATTGGCTCTTGTTGTTGCTTAGCAACAATTGAAAACCAGTTTGAAGCGTGCCATCTTTTTGCTGAAATCTGAAATATTTTTATCTTCAAAGCACTGTTGGAACTGCACAACAGCATGTCCTTTCTATTGCAAACATGAGATAAAGGGGTCAGCATGGTAGAGACAGCTTCCTCATTGATGTGTAACATAATTGTCCCAGTGGTGTTGCACAGTGGCTAACAGGAGACAACTGCAACTCAATTGGGAAGCTTCCAGATATGAATATGCATTAGCATGGCCTATGGCATTACTGAAATTAAGCATGTCCTTGGTAAATCAGCCTAAACTTAAGGCAAATTAACACATATTGGAACAAAAACAGTGTCACTTCACTGTGCTTGTTTAACCCATAGTTTATGTAGCAGGCCAAACATTCACATATTTCTTCCTGAGAATTAGATGAAAATGAGAAAGACTTTTTGAACAAATAAAATGATGAACGCTGACCTAAATCTGATCAACCTGGATAGCTGTGGCCTGCATATTCTACACTGCAGCTTGCTGAAAGGAGTTAGGGTCCACAAGAAAATAACCAAATGAAAATACCAACCTACCTGTCAAACTCACTGGTAAGAGGCAGCAAGGTTTTTTTACAACAAAATTGCATTCCTTGTTGTGACCAAACTGAAACATTTCAGGAAAAGTTTCAGCTGAACAGGTGTTTCAGACAGCAGGTCTTAGGACCTGTAGCTGCATTGCTTGAAGTGGAAAAAATGTAATAGCATAAGTCATTCTAGTTTAATTGAATAAGTGCTGCATAGTAATGGATCATTATAATGGTGATTTTGGGTAATAACTTTCAATTTTGTTTTCATTATCAGTTATAGCCTTGGTTTAAAATGGACCCACTGGGCTGAGTGGTATTGGAAAGCTAGATCCCATGTGTCTCTACAATATTTCTGGTGAGTAAGAGTAAAAAAGTGCGTAGCATTAGCTTTTCCCCAGCCAGTCTAATAAACTGAGCTTAAAGAACCTTGAGACAGAACTAGAGCCATACAGCTTTGTGGGTTATTGTACAGTATATTGTAGTTTGATACAGAATAGATAATTAACCCTGGGCTAAATGGGGGGAATTTCTTCCGGGGGCGGTTTACACTTGCTTGCTTCTGTTTGGTGGTGGTTCAATGAGGCGTCAGTACTGTCAGTTAATGTATGCTTTCTGATTGTAAGCCGTCTGCCCTTAGTCGAACCCACAGAGCAAACACAGAAAATAAAGCCCATGCATAATTAAGTAATCTGGAATGAAATAACAAATACCAATCCAGTGAAAAAAAAATCCTCATTGGAGCTGTGAATGCGATCACAGAGCATGGACAAAGGGAGATGTCATGTTGGCTTACAAAGTGATAACTCTGGCTTTCAAAACACAGTGTGGAACAGAACTGAATTATGTTTGTGACAATTCAGTCACAGGACAGGGTAATCAAAGCTAGGAGAAAAGTGTTTAAGTAAATATGTGAATCTCAAAAGCCACAGCGATGGTATTTCTTTGCTGCTGGGGTTTTCATTAGGAGAGCAGGGTTGATACTCAAACAGGCAGTGGCTGATAATGCGCATTGGCACATTGGCACACAATGGCTTTGAAAATGAAACTGTCAGGCTGAGGTAGTGTGTCGATCAGTGGGAGAGAGCTTGAGTATTTCTGACTAGTCTCATCTGGTTTCTCTCCCTCTCTATCTTTCTCTCTGCCACCCTGCCCTACCCCACCCAACCCCCCTCCTCAGACAGACATATTCTCATCTGCAGTCTTACTGCATTGTGTTGTGCAAGCTATAAGCTGAGGCTGCCTGAGTGTCTCTGTGGACTTTTCTCTTTTGACTTGGCCTCACTTTTCTTGATTGGCTGCCTTTCCAATGTCAGGCCACGTCCAGAAGTTATCCTGTACTTCATTAGCACAACGCAATCCATAGATCTCATGCTCTGTTAATGTTGTGCGATACATGCAAGCCCAGCATCTTGTGGTCATGCTTGTCTTACATCGATAGGGTTTATACTGTTGCTTCCTCAAGTGACCCTTTGCTAAGCCTTGTCCCCTTACTTACTGTTGTAGGCGACATGTTGGCTGTTTTCAGAGATAAACAAAAGTAGCTCATATCAGCTAGTCAACAGTAGCTCCTCGCTGCATGAGTTCTCCGGCTGAGAACTGCGTAAGGGTCTTTAAGGTGCGTAAGGCAATTGATGGCTACATTTTTGTTATCATGTTAAAGGATTACATGTTCCAGGCAAAAAAAAATCTTCACCAGTTGATGATCCATGTAAAACCCTAGTATTGTAGTATAGTAGTATAAGGGAAAATGTATTGAAAATCGTGTATTATATTGCAGTATTGTAACGGAAATGAAAAATGTTATTTTGTTCTAACATGACTCTGTTTGGATGCTTTATTACTATGGCTAGATGAGGGTTTCATATTTCCAAACAATGTATTTCACTTTTACAAGAGAAAGGTCTTTTACAATGAGGACTAATTGATGAGTTTGGCAAAATGTCATTTCTTGAGTAAAGAGCATGGCTAACAGAACAGCTAACATTACCCTACACTCAAATAGTTTCAAGGTCCACCTCTCACACAGTGAGTGACAGTTGCAGTCCTGAACACATACACATTTACACATAACCACAAAAAATAATATTGTGAACTGTGAAAACAAATTTTTAAAATACACCACTGTCAAAACACTTTATATACCAAGTATCACCCTTAATCACTGTTACTAGAGCCCCATGCAAACTACTTTGGCATATTGAGAAATCCAAAACTGAACAAGCTTGCTGTGCCTAGATACGGTTAAGTGGGACTATCACTGTCCAGGGGAGGGTTTAAGTGAATGGTTGAATCTGGCAGGGAGGCTAGTCGATGAACATTAAAATATTATTATTATATATATTATATATATTTCTGATTTTGAATTTTAATACATCTAAAAAGACCCTGTTAAATAAATGTCCAACTACAAGCCTGAAGCCTGCTTAAGGGAAATACAGGCATAACTTTTAAAGTAGCACTTTAGTTAATACTCTGCATCCTGATATAAGAAGGATTTAATCCTGCATACAGATCTGTGATGGTGTTACAGTCTTCACCAGTGTAACACTATTCTGGTGGACTATACCTGCAGGCTCCAAAAAACCTTCCCTTGGCCTTTCAAACAAACTGTGCCTTTAAAGAGGCTTGTAAGCCTGCCTCCACAGCTGTGTGATCCTGATCCGATCCATCGAGCGCGAAGAGGAAGCTGTTTGATTGTTGAGCAGGCTCCATCCATTCCCGCCCTGACCACAGACACGCAGGTTACAGTGTCCCTGTCTGCCTTATCTCCTGGTGCACCGGCTCGGCTTCAGACCCACGGCTCCGGCCCGGCCCCTGCTCAAGATAAAGCCCAAAATAGACCACTCTCGCTGACAGCACGGCAGCGCTAGATAAGGCTGTTGTGTCCACAGCTTTGAGCAAGAAATGGGTAGGAGAGGGAGGGGAGAAAAGGTTGGTGTGCAGGAGAGAGACAGTAAGCAAAATAATGTTGTAGTGAATGCATGGTGTTGATCGGGTTTTGTTGCTAGTGCTTGCCCTTTGACCCTCTTATTCAACCACAGATAAGAGAAGTCACGGTTATAGAAATGCACAAATCTGTTTTCCCTCTCTCTTTTCTCACAGTTGAGGCCATTGATTGTGTTTATTGACCCACGTAGTTGAAGCCCCAGCCAATTTGGTCATCATGGCTTACAGCGATAAGAAAATGACCCAGCACCGAGTGCACCCCTACGTGTGTGCTTGTGCTCGTGCTCATATGTGTGCATCTTTTTTATTGTCTATTCCAGCTTGCCTATAGCTTATTATTCAGCCTCCGCCAGATGGCAAACTGCAAAAGTGCATCTAAAAAGGTTTTCCTCCGCTGGCATGCAGAAGCCAATCAATAGCTGTGTGTCTTAGTAAATTAGATCATGTAGACAAGAGGCAGTAGTCAGCAGAGCCATCCCAAAGTAACCCCTTGCCTGGTTAGTTCATTCTCCATTAGACAACAGCCTGGAGTAATTGAATTGGCCTGTACAATCTCAGGGCTTGGCCTTCACTTTTTCGCCTTTGACAGCATATATTCAGGTCTGATAACTTAATACCCCAGCCAAGAACCAATGTACAAGTATTTTTATATATCCATTGATAGTGTAGCGGTTAAGACCCTTACAATTAGAACCACATGTACCCTAGCTTCTTGTCAGAAGCCTGCACATTGTCTCCTTCAGACAAAAATGCCATGGGGAGGTGCCTGAATATGATGTTGCAAGATTAACAAACATTTTTACAAACTTAACCTACCACCCTCTAAAACCATTTTATTCATACATGCATCACTTTTGTGTTAAATGATGTGACAAATAAACGACAGACCTCGAGCTCTGTGGGCTGCCAAACTTAATAAGAGATGTCTCGCTTCTCTTGTTATTTGGGGGTAAATAAGTCGTTATGGCAATGATGAGATGCAAGCTAATTATCCGCCCCAAGCCAATCAATGACAAAGCCAAGCTTCACTATAGAACAAGCATTATAGTCAGAGAAAGAAAGAGGGAGTAAGAGTAAAATTTGCACATGAAGAATTTTTTAAAAGGGCTGCTGATGAAGAGTTTTGGGGTCTTTCGGTTCACAAAGTTATACTCTAATATTAAGCATTAAAAGCATAGAGGCTAATTAGGACACCATTAATACTTATATCCCTGTCTGCCACCCCACCCCCCACCCCGCCTCATTATTCCATAAATTCTGTATCTGTTGCCGGCAGACAAAAAATGCAATTTATCCATTTTTATATCCATTACATGGTGGTACTCCACTAAAGCACTTACATATACATAATTACAGAAATACAGGACAAGCACAGGCTTGAAACCCCTGAGAAAATCATATTATCCTACAATCGCACACCACTCTATAACCTGTATCGCTACATTAATGCATCAAATGGTTTAATTTCTGTCCTTGCATGTATATGCTGTTTGTCAGTGCTTGCAACACAGTTAACACTTGCTACAGTGGTTACACTTTGGCCCAAGGTAAATATAGTCCTCTACAGTTTTTCAATGACCAACTCCATTTAAGCATTGGCAAGCAGAAGCTAACAAAAGTGTTAAAAAACAAAAACTAAAAAAATTTCTCATCATCTTTCCCCTCTTGTATTTTTCAAACTGCCAACCTTTCAGGCATGAGCACATGCAATGTTTTTTTTCCACTTGTGCATGAGGCTTGTGTACTTATAGCTGCACTGAGGTAGGGCTGGTGTTAGCTCAGATGGAAAACAAGCAAATGTTTCGTTAGGAGAAAGCATGATGAAGTATTTAGGCCTCTTTATTCTGGATTGCATCTGTTAGTGGGCTTTTCTTAGTCTAGCACGCAAGCTGCATTACAACTTTACATTTGCATCAATCCATTTCAAGGATGCACACTAACCCTCAATATTACATTTTGTAAATGAAAGTTACCTGCTGTTGTCACTGTTTGAAGGTGGCCTTTAATTACTAAACAAGAATTCATAAAAGCTCCTATCTATATATTCTTACTTGCATGTTTATATTTATCTATCTAATCTACGTACTCATTGTTGTCCCTTAAGATACAAATCATTGTGTCAAAGCACTGGAGTTGTTTAAACCCAAAACACAGGGATCAGGTGGCCTATTTCTTACTGTTAAAATCACAAAGTGGAAATTTTCATCATGCAACATAATTGCTTCAGGAGAGTCCCATCACGCAGCTCTAAAACGGGAACAACAAAATCTGCTGTCTCAACATGCAAACCATGGGAAAGTATCAGCCGAGTAGTTTTCTTCAGCAACTGCGAGTGTCTTCTGCGACAAAAACATCCAGTGGTGTATGTGGCCATAATCCCATGTGACATGGGCGGTCAAGGGGAAGGGATTGGAGGGCTTGGAGAAAAAGACAGAGCATGGCAACGCTGAGCAAGAGGGAGGGAGAGGGACAGACAGAATAAGAAAGAGAGACTTCCCCTGTCCTTTTTCCTTGCAGAAAGACACTTGTGTCGGATACAAGGTAATGCTCCCATTTATATCTCCCTTTAAAAGGCCCCTGGAAACATGAGCGGGGACCCCATGCACCAAGACGGGGAGGAGGATTCTTGGTTAAAATTCATTTAATTCATTCCCTTCATTTGGTCCACTTTGTTCAGTGGCAAGCTACTACCTGAACTTGCAGAGATAGTTGGCCAAACACAGATTAAAGCACAGCACCGCAAGGGAACACATCTAATACTGGAGCTTCACTCTGTCTGAGCTGCTGCATGGGAGTTTGGCTTAGTGTGTTCAAACAGTGAAGTGTGGCAATAAAGCCATACTATAGCTAGGCTAGGATAAGCCCATTTCTAATCCTATCCAATATCTCCATATAGCCCAGCTGTCAAACAGTACAGGGGACATACAGTAACTGGTAAGTAGTTGCATTTCTTGCATTTATCATTCATAATTACCCCAAATCCTAGCTTTTCAGTAACATATATTCACTTAGTATTGTAGATCAAAAACTTAGATTTTTGACAAATGAGAAGATCATGATATCACAGAGAATGAAAACGGAAAAAGGATTTGGGTTTTATATTGCTCAATATATTTAACCATTCTCTCCTTTAATTCCAGTACCTATTAATCCATCTTTCTTTTCCTCTCACCCCTATCTTCCTCCCCTCCATCTTTTGCTCTCTCTTGCTGTCATCCTTTATACCCTAGCTGCTCTTTTGTTTATCACTCCATCTCTCCCTGTCCCTCTCTCCCTCCATTTCTCTTTGATAATGGCGGCCTCAGCGCAGGAATCTGCCGCCATCCATTCCAAGCAGCAGGTAATGGATTGAGTGCGGGACCTGATCTGGCTATGGATGAGCCAGCCCGTAGGTGTCTGAGTGGGCGTTCAAATGGATTCAGAGAAGCTCGCCTAGAATAACACACTTTGTCACCGCAAGCTTTGTCTTCACAGATCTTCCATGTTCACTGTCAGTGCTGCCCCCACCCCCACCCTACCCCATCCCTCTCTTCAAAGACAAAAACTCTTTAAAACAAGACAGCGGTGTGCCAACGTCTCACTGTCTGACTGGTTAAGGGACATTTTGATATTGTCAGGATGCTTCTCCTTAATCCCAGCAATGTTGCACAAGCACACTGCTCTACTTCTCACTTTGATCACTGTTTTTAACAAAGGGACACAGAAACAGATCAAGAGGATTGTAGAACCGACGCCAATGTCACGCTACTAATGCTGAAAATCATAAATTGTCCAAACAAGAACGTTCTCAGCTGTGATTCTGGCAGCTAATACATATTGTGCTGCAAGTGGTTGTATGCCGTCACTGAGGAGCAGAGTAAATGATTCCAAAAACCACAGGGATGTTGCAATCTCCACAGAGTCCTTACAGATACCTGGAAACCAATATAAACCAACATCTGGTAATGAATTATGGATGGAGATGAAATGCATGTACTCGGCCAGGCTCTCTACAGGGGTTGTTATTTACAGTCTCGCAGAAATATGCTTCCCATCATGGCTGGTGGAATTTGCTACATGACGTGTGGTATTGTGCGCTGTGATATACAGTTATGGATTACTTCAAAGCCATAAAATACATAAACTGAGATGATATGTTCTGGAGGAATATTTCTAGTCACATCTCAACATTTATAAAACTTGATTACACCTAAGTATATCTCTTTCTTCTAATATAATTGCATATGTTTATTTTCTATGTGACAGGAGCCCAGGTAATTAAAATGTCTTTATCTGTCGGAATAACCTTTGTTGCCAGAAAAATATGGCCAAGCGCCAGATGGAGAAATATGTTTATGAATACTTGTGTACATATGTGTGCACGCATACATGTTTACATATTTGCATATGGATGTGCAGACTGGCAGTGTTCCCAATTTCTGTGAGTGTGCGTGTGCTGGAGCATGTGTGTGTGAGCGAGGGATGATGGAAGCGTGGTGACTCTGCCTGGAGGCAGCAGCCACCCCATTGTGGGGGGTGAACACGAGGCCAGACACCTGTTTTTCCCAAAATGAATTATGGAACGAAGCCAAGCGCGTGTTATTCTCCACACAACTGACAACAGAGGCCAAGGCCAAAGACCTGAGGAGAGACAGAATGAGGCTGGCATTACAGAGAGTGCTAAACAATAAGATATCCAGAGTAAGAAGGTATGAAGGTTATGAGTCCTTGTTTACTTTAATAGACTCTCTTATAATGGGGGATGGAATTCTAATAGACTTTTCCATTGCATGCTTTGCTTTGCGGCTGATGCAACTCAATTAAAAAAGATGGAGAGAGCCATTTAAATCTTATGAAATATTCATTGTTTATAGGCAGTTATGTGTAGACAACTCATGAAGTAAACATTATAACGACAGTGGAACTGTTGTTGTGGAGCAAAGCATATATGACTCATGATATATTATATTAGCTGTTTTAACCCCCAACATCATGAACTCGGCAATAGAATACACTAGAATTCAATATGAATACACACAACTTCCAGCACAACAGAATCAATGAATCAGCATCAAATTTGTTTTTGGAAAAACAACATCAAAACAACTGCAAACTGGCTCTAAGAGACTTATTACTCACCACGTCTTGTTTCAGCAGTAAATACATTTATTTGGCTTCATCTATTCATACCTGCAGCCTTCTATTTATTTACCTGTTCTAATCTGACATACAAATTTCCTACATAGCTCATTTGTACAGTTTCCTCAACTTGTCAGGCTGCAACTACTTATGTAAAATTGAGGCACAGCTCCTAAAATGAGCAGGAAATAGAAAGAGAGAGACAGCGTTTGGCTTTTACTGCAGTGTGTGGGCAGCTGTCGACTGCACCCATGCACTAACCTGTGCCCGCTGATGTCACACACGCCACCCAACCATTGCGTCAGTCTCCAAAGATGCCACTCTGATAGCAAATAGCAAGCCTTCTGGGCTGCAGAAGGCATTTAGTCTCATATTTAGTCTTTACATTTTTCTGAAGATCTGTAAAATGCTCTGCAAATTTGGTGAGATAACCCCACTTATCTCCATATAATGAGTCTGGAAAATCCGCTCATTTGCAAGGAAAATTATTTAAATTACTGTATGCCCCCCCATATGTTTAAGCTCTTTAAGAAACCTGGATTTGATGACACAGCAGACATACAGTACAGTATGTATGCTTTTGCCTTCCATATAAGTGAACACTAAAGTGGAAACAGTACATGGTTAATGAACACACATATGCAAGGCTAGCACAAATGCATATGGACAGGCATACAGGGTATATACTGTCTGTACACAGGGATTTCACATAAACATACACACACAATATATACACATATGTCCACATATTATCCTCCTTAGAGGCAACTGACCGTTTACCAAACCGCATACCTCTTAGTTATTGTTGCTACATGTATACTGCACATACACATATACAGTATATAATGATAACTGTGGCAGATTTACTACTAGAAATTTTAAGGTTTTTTTTAAACAAAGTCGGTTTCTCATTTCTAACCAACACCCACCTAACAGATACATTTGCAAATTTTATGGTCTGTAGCTAAGCTAATATTTGCTAACTATCTGAGTTGGGTAAATTATTTCCAGCTGACTTGATACACCAACTTAATCAATCATGACATAAAAACACTCCTTTCATCAAATAACTAATTAAAACTACCACATGAGGATACATAAGCATGATTACAAATTACAGAAACCACTTTCGGTAACTGTACTGTGTACTTTTATTTTATTTTGTTTGGCCCTCGTCCCATCTGCCAACATGGAGGGAGGATGGTAGTTAGCTGCACATGCTAATTCCATTCCTTACAAATTTGCTCCTGTGATTTTGGTCTTGAAGAGGCTTAAAAAAGAGAAACACCACCCAACCAACACTTGAGCCCTTTACTCATAACCCATACACACTGCTTTGGCATGTTCAGAATCCAAAGCTTCACAGACTGGCTGTGCTAGTTATGTTTGCTAAGAAGACTGGCCTATCACAGTTCGGGGGAGGCATTTAACGAACAGTCAATTTTCTGGGGCAAAGTACATCACATCACAAACAGATCCCTGAGGATGTGAGCATGAAGTGATTTCCCTTTACAGTCATACTGACTGTTATATAGAAAGGGTTACATGGTGAGGACATTGAGCTGCATCATCAGGAGAATGTCTGTGGTTATGTGGCTGAGGATGGATACAGTAAGTGGTAACATTGAGATATGTGAAAGCCTTGCTGGGTTACCGTGGGGTCAATTTACAGCAAATAACTATGATCTTGCATGACTTGAATGAATGATGATCCAGTGACTGATTCTATGTGTCAGGAGTCATAAACTATCAACACATGACAGCAGTCTGAGTGAAATTGAAATACATCTGTGAATTTTGTCTTTAAAATGCACTGTCTACATGCTTTGTCACTTTATGACAGGCATGTCTGATAGCGCCTGAGGTATGTCCAAAGAGTTGCAGAGAATTTTATTTTCTAGAGTAATTTGTTTCACCCAGGGTATAAGGACATCAGGCTCTAAGGGGTAGTTAGCGCTGTCCTTCTAAATATCATCGTTCACACCTGGGGGTCACAGGCTCTGCACTGTCGACTCAAAGCACATCAAAAGGGGAGCTCAAAATACCATTAGTATTTCATCATTAAGTCGCAGAAATACGCAGAAATGTCAATTTGCATAGCCTGTCATGGCCAGCCGGAGGGTGGCAGCGCGTCTGTCTGTCTCCCTGTATATTTGTCTAAAGACAGGAAGTGGTTGACATACTCAGGAGGTGTGAATTTCCTACCCATGATTAATTTAGCCCTTCCTGTGGCGGCAGCCTGCCATGAACGTTTCCTGGGCTCAATTTAACTCTGATCAACACATTCACAGTGAATGCCATCTGGTGATTCGATTCTGACAAATTACCCTTGTGTTGTGCTTGATAACGCCTTGAAACCAGCGTGTTTATTTTCCTTTGGTGGTTTTTTATTGTGTAAGTGGGGGGGAAATATTGACCTGAGCTGACGGTAAAGTGAAACCGGACAAGCAGCAATGCTAAATAAGTTTGCCGTTCCTAGTCCTCTTCTCCTGGAGGGACTTGCATTTGATATGTGTTGCTGATGGTGCTGAAACTTCTCTGGCTTTGTAACTACTCACCTGAAGGTTTCCCTGCCACACAAGTCAGGCTAGATTGGAGTTATGCGATTAGGAGTGGTGTTGAGTTTTAGCCAGGCAAAGCCTCTAGTGTACTGTTATGTCTGCCTCTGCTTGTATCAAGCAGCACCCAACCTCCAAGCCTTCTAGCCACCAACTTTAGGCTTCCTCCCTTCTCATGTTGTTGTGTTCTCTGAAGAACATTGAAGTCTTTGCTTTGCAGAAAAACAGCTCAGAGGAAACATACAAACATGCGTGGGCAAGACTGTACAGATGTGCTCATATAGTACACTAAATGTGCATGCACACATGATGCGCCCAGGCTGAGTAAATTGGCAGTGGTTTGCTTTCCAGGCAAGGTTGAAATGAAAATATTCTGTGTGCATTTGTCTACAGAACAGTAACCTCACTGAAGATAATCACCAATTGAGAAAGAAGCCACTGCCAGCAGTGCTCCTGGTCTCTAACAAATATCTGTGGGGAGTTAAATTGCAATGTCTTTTCCTGTAATGATAAAACATTAGAGTCTGCGTGTGTGTGGCTGTTTCATTTTTCCACCATCCCACACTGCACACACTCACTTACACACACTAGTCAGGTTACGCATGGCTTCTCGCCTCTCATGCATGGGCTACCTATGTTTAATTTCCATTCTCCTGCCGCATCGGCAGCCTTGTAAATTATTAATGTCCATCGGCGGCGGCAGCAGTAGTTCATTTTCTAAGCTCTGTATTTGTGTCGGATGAAAAAAGAAACAAACTGAGATAACGGGCGATGGAAATGTAAAGGGAGTGTGGGGGGAAAATAAAAGAGGATTGAGATTTGGGGAAGGGGGAGTCATCTGTGCTGTTTGTCATGCATGATAAACGAACACAGGGCAGAGGAGAGGGGAACTTCTGCTCATTTCGGCGTAATACAGAGATAACAGAAGAGGGGACAGAGTGACAAGAGGAAGAGAGATGCTGGAAGAAAACCCAAGAGGTAATCAAACAGAGGAACAGATCCTGACCTTCGTGTTATTAACGCCACACTCTGCTTCAGGTGGCCTCTTGCAGGTCAGGGGGCATTGCACAGCGACAGAACATCCCCTCACACCCGCTCCTGTGCTCCCCTCTCTTGCCTCCACCACCTCTCTGAAGGCTTGTGCACGAAAGGAAATGTTATATTTAGCTGAGACCAGTATTTTGTTTGTTCACTAGAAGCAACACTGCCCCTTGGAAAGCAGCCAGAACACTGCAGCATGGCTCCCTCTGCTTCCATCTCTCTTGCTGTCCCCTCCATGCATCTCTTCTCCTTATTTCCATCCTTCCACTCTGCTCCCTTTGTCAACCCACCCCCTCTCATATCTGTCTCTTTCTCTCCATCCCTTTTTTTTTTTCTTTTGTGAGCACAGTACAGCATAAACAAGTCCAGTGCCACAGCGAGTAGCCGGAAAAACATCCACCTCCCGCAGCACACAGGGGGAGGGGGTGAGATTTATTGTGACACTGTTTGGAAATGTTGACAAAAAAATTAAAAATTAAAAAATTGTGTTTTCTCTTTTCCAAAGCACTTACAGATGAGCGAGGAGGAGGCAAAAAGTAAGAAAGGTTGTTGTTGTTTTGGTTTAATTACAATCAATAAGCTACATGATGTGTCTATTCAACACTTGCCCGTGTCTTAAAAAACTTCAACACAAAGGCAATCAAAACTTTTTTCTGCTGGGCTGAAATGGTTTTGCCGTTCTTGTTTTCCCCATTTTTTTTATCTTTCTCTGATTCATCACCTTGGCAACAAAGCAATCGTGATGGGAGAGTGGGAGTCGTAATTTGGAGCGCTTGGTGTAAAAGCTCAACATTATAAAAGAGTGTAAATGTGTTACTGACCTATATTCTCAGCCTGCATATAGAAACCCATCCCATGAACCAGATCCCTCCTGTATCAGCCCATCCATCTGCTGTAAGTCCTTCTCCCCAGAGCCTAGTGGGAGGTAATGCCGTGCTGTTTCTGTGCTGTGACAGGTGGAGCCATACTGTAACTTGATTCATGGATAAATTGTCACAAAGTGATTCTTTGTGCCTGCCCACATCTCCCTCAGGTACTGTATCATGTCTAAGTATATGTGTTTGTATGTGCCTCTGTGTGGGTCTGTGTGAGTGTTCACGTGTGGGGGTTTGTCTGACACATAAATCATCAACATAATTATATTCAGAACAATGGTTCTAAACAATGTCAGTCCCAGTTACTGTTACTGCTGTGATTCACCGTAAGATCAAGGTAAAATCTGCAAACAGTCTCACCAACAGCCAGGTAAAGAAACTTCAAAGTGGGTCAGAAGTAACTTCAAATGTTCAACTTAATAACCTCAAAGATTCTTTAAAATACCTTGAGGCAATAGTTTGTTTTTTAAAAACATATTGCTCTTTTCTTCCAACAGAATTCCCCGAACCAGGAGAGGTAAATATGGTGAATAGTAAAAGCATGAAATGATCCAATATGGGATTTATTTGACCATTACATTTTTTATTTTATTTTTTAACTTAGAGGTGTAGCCTACTTAAGCTTTTTAGAACAGTCTTTACTGCAGTGTTCCACCTTTAAAGCTGGAGTGTGGAACTTTTACATATGTATGAAGGTATGTTACATTCAAGCCCTTGTCAAACAAGTTCACACAGTGGTGATTAAGCCGATCGCTGCCAGCTAAATCTGTCTTTATTTCACAGTATACAGAGTTTTATATCTGGGGTCTGTGGGGACTTTCCCACACTGGAGCACCGGTATTGATGTGGTTTACATCAACCAGCAATGCCGGCATTTTAAACCAAAGCCACCATCAAACTGCTCAGGTCCCAGGTTGACCATTCCCTGGAGCTGACAGCAGCGCACTGACTGAGATAACTACAGAGTTTCTTTGACAGTAACTAAGCTTGTCTATTCAACGCAAGAAGTCTCACTTGGATTTATTTTTGCAGTTATATGTCTCAAACTAAGTGTTTTATTTGTTTCCTTGGATCCCAAAGATGATTTTGTTTTTGCTGAGGTAAGAACTCATTAATTGTTAGCTGAACTGTGAGTTTTTTATTGAGCACTGACAATATAATACACTGGTGTATGTGTAATTACTCTCCTTGCCAGAGGGAGAGACAAATGTTCTGCACAACAGGTTTAAAATATGCCATAGTTAACATTAAAACACAGTCACTGAAGAGCACATCGGATTACTGATATACCATGATCTGCAGCCAAGGTGTGACACAAGGTAATTTCCAGTAGATGTATTATGACTCAATACCCACAATGGACTCAATGTTAATTGACGAATGTTAAATGATCCTTCAAATTTCCAACTAGGAACCTTCACAAAAGAAAATCCTAAAATGGACGTATAGTGTCTTGCATTGGAACCTCATTTGCATTCGATGCTGCACGTCAGCAGACAAGACAGTATCCTCAGGCTCATCAGAACAATCTGCCACCGCTGTTCCCTAATGATATTGAAGCACAATGGGGAATAAATGTTTGCAACAGCAAGACACACTGTTTGAACATACAAAGGTTGATGATATACACATTACATGGAGATAAAGGCAACCATACATGCACAAACATACAAAAACACACATCAGCAAAATATGTTTCTGATCTGAATCCAAAGTCTCATCAGATGAACTCCCCTCAGTGAAAGAGTCAGTTGCGGAGTCAATGATGATGGCTTCTACTTGGAAAACAAATCAAACAGCTGGCAGGAGAAATGTACTGAAGGAAAAAAATGAACACATTTCTCTATAGCCACCATGCAATTTGAATATTCTTTTTGTTAAAATGAATGATGAAAAATTTGATTTTACTTCCAATCTCTGGCAGGATCTTGTGAATTTTTAACAGCACACATAACACAGTGCCAGGCCCACATGTTACACACATAAAATGACTGGAAAGAAAGCCAGCAAAAAGATTTGTCACTAACTCCAACCTGTTCTCTACTATCACTATTACAGAACATTTCCTGAACAGTTGGTAATTGAGTTTGGTGGACTCGTGGCCTCCAGTGCTCTCTCAATAGATGCTGTCTAAAACCATTATTCAGATGTTCTGGAAATGAACCATCTATGAACATGGCCGAGGGATTAAAAAAAAAAATGGATTCAAAGCTTTTAAGGAAATTCCTCCCTCCCTCTCTCATCCTCTTTTGGTTTCTTTTCAGAGAAAAAGAGCCGGCCTCGACCTACGTGCTGCAAGCTTTGTAGTTTGGTGGTGGTACAATGCTGCAGAGCCGACTGAATTTCACTGTGTCACTTTAACCCAAATGTTTTTTGTTCTGCTGAACTCTGCCAGAGCATACTGAGTTATTTCCTCTCCCTCAAGCCCAGGGCACTGGCCGGCACTAAAGCAAATAGAAAGTCTGAAACTAGATGTGACTGAGATGGCTTACCACTGCACGCACTGAAGATTGCTTTTATTCAAAGGAATAGTTCAACATTTTGAGAAATACCCCTCTTCACTTTTTGCAGAGAGTTATATGAGGAGATTGATACCACTCTCATGTCTGTACTTTAAATATTTTAAATAAAACAGCTGCAGTTTTGGAGATGCTCTGACCCAGTTGTGGAGCCATCACAGTTTGGCCCTTGACAAAGTCACTCAAATCCTTACGCTTGCCCATTTTTCACACATCAACTTTGAGGACAAAATGTTCACTTGTTGCCGAATATATCCCACCCACTGACAGGTGCCATGATAAAGAGGTAATCAGTGTTTTTCACTTCACCTGTCAGTGCTCATAATGGTATGGCTGATTGGTGTACATACATATATCATTTTTTATTTCCATGTCGATTTAATGAGACAGAGAACAATGGCTAATTTCAGTGTAATTACAGTGTGACTTTAGCTGCCACTATCATAAGGACAGAGGAGACAGACCATGGATGTACAGTATTAAAAATTTTAGACAGTGAGTGGCTCCACAGATTGCTCAATAGTAATAACATGGCCATCTTGAAGAGTGGGATACATTTACACTTCAACATCTGGCTAGAATGTGTCCCAAACGAGTAATGAAATTTGAATCTATCTTGAATGCTTTTTAGATGTTGATGTTGATCAACCAAGATGCATGAAGTGACTAACTGTAAATGAGATCTAACAGCAGGGACACAGGAGGTGGAAGCGTCGCAAAACATCCCAAACTGCTCCAAAGCGCTGCATGCTTCCTTTCGACAACTGGGCTGTTGATAATCTATTATAAATTATATGAATGATACATTAAGTAATCTGATTCTGATAAATGATGAAATAGACATCCCATGCTTGCCAATCCTTTTGATTTTTCTGCTCCTCTCCCCACTGGCCAGTTTCAGTTTCAATTAGGTTTTTCCCCACCACATCATGAAATATTCACAGTCTGCCCATTGTTATTGCATTTTTTTAATTGCATAGGCCTACTCATTCCACATTCCACACACACATACTGGCAGGCACACACTGACAGACACACTATATTAAAAATAAAAGTGCTAACTAGAACCATATATGGTTCGTCGGCTTGTCC